CCCATCCCGCCCTGCACAGGGTCGGGCAGCACGACCCGCTTCTCCCCCGCTCCTCCACTGCCTTGGACCGTTTCTCATTACGTTCGACGTGTTTGCGAACTGGACTGTTTCGTAATTCCACCACGGGCCGCGCGGCGGGCGCGCCATGGAGCTCATTCCAGTTAGCACTCACCCCCGTGTTTTTCAGCCCACCATCTCGTTTGGGGGACACGTTAATTTTTAAAATGTTTCAATGATGCGTGATTGGTGTGTGTTCTAATTTTTTTTCAAGTCAATTTCCAAAAATATATTTGTATTTTCCAGCTCTAAGAAAACTAACCCACAGTGCTAAGAAAGAGACAGTCCCCTCGGCTGGACCTCAAAGCTCCCACTTAAATTCTTCGAACATCTCAAATAGCTACATCAGTCCACGACACGACGATCCGCCTGCCGGCTGGGTGAGAGGGGAGGGGGTGGGGGGGCAAGCTGAGCGCAGCGCTGCCCAACGACGCACCGTCGCCACAACCGAGCCCCCGTGTGGTTCTGTTCTAAAAGGGGACAGAGCGAGGAGGGACGGAGCACGTTTCCATTTCCACAGACATTCTTAGGTCTCCAGCGCCCAGACGCCCAACGTTAGGGAATTGTTATTGGGAGCAATTTCTTGCCCCCAAGCAAGTAGGCCACGGGCCCGTGTGCATTCGTTTGGTAGAGTAAGACAACGACATACATGAGGGGTTTTTAGTCTGACTACTTGAGTGATCTCAAACGACGGACTATGATTACAAAGTTCATATAGATACGATTTTTAGCAGATGATACCTTACAAACTTAAACTTATTTTTCGAAAGTATGCAGGCAAACAACATCTAAACACAACAGCATATGGATTTTTCTGAGTATTTTTCATCAGTGCGCGCAATAACCAGAGAGCCCCCGTGCCGACACGCCATCTGAGCTCCGTTGCGGTCGATTTCCTGTAGGCGGCGTCCTTACACATCGACCGACCGTTCTGCGACTCCATGGCGCATAGGGCAGGCGTCGTGCTCACAACTCGTGTGCAGCAGGCGCGATGGCCAGCTCCTGGCAGCGGCCGCGCGGGTCGGCGACGGGGTCGTTGGCCACCTCCCAGCGGGTCCTGGTGGCGCACTGGCACTGCATCCTGATGCTGCTGCAGCTGGCCGGCATCATCGGCTGCAGCGGCTGGCCGCCACGCTGGTCGCGACCCTGGACCAGCTACGCTTTCACGTCTCTGGTGGTGCTCAGCGTTGTCAGAGCTACGCTGCTTTGGCCCACCGTTCAAGTCGGTTAAAAACGCAGAGTGGTCCATATTAAGGCGGCGTGCACAAATTACGTTATCGTTTTTTGGTCGTTTTTTGGTCTCTCTGTCATCGTGTGTAACTCTCTTCTCTACCCCCCCCCCTCCCCCCTGATGACATAGTTTTTCCACTGAAAGATCAGAGTAGCTCAATCAGGTTATTTTGAGTTGAAGATTGGACCACCCAAACGTTCAATCTGTGTTAATTAAGCATCTTCTGATTCACATTAACCCCAAAAATAAACAATGTAGAAATAGTTCTTTAACGTTGTACCTATTAATTATAGCCGGAAATT